AGAAGTTTGTGCATATTTTTAATTAAACAGTTTCACTCAAACTTCAATCAAATATGAATGCAAAATCAAGTCTGCCAATAATAATAATTTCAGCTGTACAGAAATATATGTTTCTGTCTATGAGTCAGATGTTTAATAGATGTGAGCATTTGCAGGCAGCAGACATGCATTGTGAGCAGAGGTAATCAAAAAGCGCCGTGTTTTATAACCACATATTGTAAATTAACCTGTCTTCTAAGAATTTCAAACACTCCTGATCTGTCGCAGATTGATTTCTTTACTAATTTTTATTTTCCAATACATGGAAGATTTTCCCAAAGACAAAAAGTTAAAGTTTTTCTCGTTCATATTTATTTAAGAACCATTGGGTTGAAAGAAACCTTTGCAGTAATAAGCGACCACACCTGTCCCATTAATGAAGTTGATTTGCAGTCCACAGGTGAATTAAGAGGACGGTCGATTTCACATCTCAGATGTGTGCAGAATAAAAACAGCTCACGAGATCTGAATCCACCAATTAAACCCGCTTGTTTATGGCTGCTTCTGTTGGTGGTGGAGCATTATAGTATGATGTTCAAACGGATATTCAAACACAATCACCCTACGAATGTAGGTCCATAATGCCTCTTTAAATTTAACATATTCAGGTTCTGACAGATGAAGCTAATGATGGAGTCGAAAAGCTGTTGTATTCTGTTTTTCTGAGGTTCTAATATTTCAACACACCAGAAGAAACAGTGTCAGGTTTTAATACTAAGCTCTGCCCTCCAAGGTCAGGCCCGATCTGTACCATTATTATTTGCAGTCAACTGTTACAGCTACAGCATGGTAATCTTCCCTCTAGCCTTTCTCCAGTTGTTTTCCTCGACTCGTTATAAAGGTGCATGAACCTGTGTGAGGAAAAATGGTACTGAACTGTCCACAAACAGAGATCAGGAATGTGAGAAACTGTGGAAATCTGCACTTTTAGTGGGGATTGAACTTATTGTCATGATAATAAGAGCTGTAAATATGCAGCCTATGATTGTTCTTGTCAGCTTTATACTGTTCTCAAAAGTCAAGAAGAAAAACATGAATTAATTTCATTGGTCACTAATATATAGCTTTGTTTTCACTGAATCTGCATCCTCATTAAAATTAGAACTCAAGACAGTGTGGATGGACAAATTCATTGTCAAGGTAATATCACAGGGTTAATCTCAATCACAGCTGTCATATTTAAACAAGTAGTTTTATTTTTATTTTTTGGAAGCTGCTGTAACAAACTAAAAACACAATCATATTACAATGCTGTTGATTTTCTTTGACTACTTAATCTCTTTGTTGGGGTTGGGAGTGTGGCACAGCTATACAGAACAAGCCCTCATTTATTATAATATCTGGTCATGTAATAACAGATGTTTACAGATTTCAATCCATTTCTAACTATTTCCCACCATACTTACTGTGGTCTGAATCATTTAATGAGTGTGTAAAATGTACAGCTTTTTCCAGTGATTTGGTTTCTTGTAACACAGAGAAATAAGCAAAAATGTGTCACTACAAGCCACATGAGAACAATCAGTCCACTTATTGAGAGCTACAATAATAAATACACGGAGAAGCTGCTGTGTTTTTGATTGAAGAATTTACATTGACTTTATGCCTACCATCTACAGCAGTCAGAATGTCTGCCGCGCTCTTCCATATCCTAGAATGAAAACATATACATGGCTATGTTTAACTCAGACCCGGACAAGCTTAGATCCCATTCTCACCACATGAGAATCACTCTGGAATTCTTTTGAAACTGGACTGAGACCACCTCTGTCATGGTGTGCTGTGTGGCAGGATGTTGGACCCAAAACGCAGGACTCATAAACGGAGGAGTAAACTCAAAACTCAGCTTTAATGCTGGAGAACTTCACATCCAAACACAAAGCAAAACTAGAAACTAAACCAGGAATTGAAAACTTGAATTGACTTGAAACACAGAGGGAAGAAACACATAGTATAGTGAGAGTATGACGCAACAGCAGACAGAGGAAAACACAGGGCTTAAATATACAAGGGAGTAATGAGGGAATGGGAAACAGGAGGGAAACACAGCTGGGATTAATTAGACATAACGAGACAAAGGGAAGCAAAACTAGACACACTGACATACCGCACGAGACTATCAAAGCAAAACAAGAAACATGACACATACGCAAAGACACAGACTCAGAGACATGGGCTTCACACTGAGACATGACTGAGTCGGAGTCAGAGGGAACATAGAGACAAGGGTCACTAGACATGAGGCGTGGGACCAGGACAGGTACAGAGAAAACATGGGGACAGAGACTAAACACAGGCTAAGAAGAATCCACAGGAAGGAAGAACTAAGATCACTGAGCATAAATGAAAGATAACCAAAACCAGGAATAACAATCATCAAAGAATATTACCCAGTAACTGAAACACAAATGTGACAACCTCCTCCACAGGGTTTTAGTCTGTGTAGCTGTTTTGGCCCGTTTAGATTTTTTTTTCTAAACTAGTCATAACCATAGCCACTCCCACTTTTAACCACATACACAGTCTGAGTGGTAATTTAAAGATATAGAAAAAATATGTATCTGGGCTGTGTATAAAAAATAGGTATGATTTCCAGGAAATGAAAAATGAACTCATTCTTTTTGATAGCCTCCTCTGATTGCAAAAACAAATCGAGTTGTAGAGAAATTGTGGAGCTAATGATCTTAATCGCTAGTGCCTCATCTTATTTACATGATGCTCATAAATAAAGGTCAGTTTTAGAGTAAAACAGAAGAGCAAAACGAGATATTCTTCAGAGCCGAACCACCTTTTGATTGGCAAGTCGCTGAAACATGAGGGTCCCTTGGTTTCTCAGATTCATCCTTTCCACATCACATTTGATTTCGAAAGACTAAGCTAGCAACAGTTAAATTCCTTGAAACAGGATTTCATTAACCATCGGCTCGTGTCATGATGACTACCTTCATCTCTGATATACAGTCTGTGTAGTTTTCAGCAGTTATGTCTGGCGATGAACCTAACACTTAGCTTATAAATCAGTAGTGTATTTCGCACATTCTTTGGGATTTTCAGTTGTTATTTTAATGCTTAAATTATTATTTTTAATTATGTTCTTCTATCAGATAATAAATATACGCCGATACCAGTATGTGTGTGACTGGTCACTTTAAGCCGATATTGGTTCAGCTCCAGAAAACAGCATATAACCACTTTTAAAGAAAACTGTAAGAATAATTTTTAATAGCTGAGATTGTTCTACTGCTTAATTCCCCACCCAGATTTTAGACTGGTACAGAATGGAGTGTGACAACCATGTGGAGCTGTCATACACATTTTGCTCATTGTTTTCAGCATCTACTTGTCTACTAGATGTAGTGGAATAATACTCTGCTGTACACTACATTATTGTGACCCTGGCACGAGCAGAGACTGACTCAACGAGACGCATCTTCTCATATCTTTTGCCTCTCAAGTTTTCCTCCTTATTTTAAATCAGACTCAAGTTCTGGCAAAGATAAGGGTTGTGACATTTAAATGGGCAAGTTTTTGAACTGACTTTATCTGATTTGCTCTTTATCGACTGGATGTCGGCTGTGGTCCTAGCCGTTGTTGTCTGTCACTCTGATAAAATTGCCAATCCGTTTATCTGGCATTTAACAAACCCTGCCAATGAGTGACCTCAGAGATGGACCAGGTCCAGGGAACAGGCTGGCCTTTTCCGGATATCCATTAACTGTAAAACCACAGCTTTACAGTAAAAGCGGCCTCTCTCCATCCTCACATTTTCCAGCAGAAGTTATTAGCACGAGTCTGCCGGTGTTCCACTCCAGTAGACTGATGACCGATTTCATTAGTTCCCTCAAGTGCCAATCTGCCCTCTAATATGACAGCAAGAGACAGACTAACATGCCTTCTGTGGCCTCTTCAGTTCAATCCACTGTGCCCTTGAGGTAAATAACTGGGACATAGACGCTTTAGAGAAATTCTCGCGGTAAGCATTGCAGCGATTAAGATTCGGGTGTGGTAGTGCCACAGTTCACCTTGGGCATTAAACAGTTGTTGGCTCTGCTGAGATTGGGACACTGCAACAGCTACAGCCGATGATACACACGGTCAAGTGCTAAAAAGAGTTGAGGATGAGGTGAAGGCAGAGAATAGGAAGGGAGGAGGGGAAGGCGGCGCCGAGCCTGTTTCCTTCTCCTGGTTCTGTCTGTACAAACACAGGCAGACACAGACCCTGAAGCTGTGACTTTGAAGTTGTGTCTTTGATTAAGGAGTTAATTAAAGAAAAGCTGCATGCAGGCTAGCAGATAACTGAGAAAAGAAAGGGAAGAGACAGTGAGAGAAAAGGAGCGGAAGAAGTGATATTGGCATTTATAAGTTGCCAGAGAGTTTTTATGATTGACAGAAAAACCAGCTGGCACTACAGAGATGGATATAAAGGCTGTAAACGCCACCCACATGTGTGAACAGCACAGTATCTGTCCTCCTGCAAGCTGTGGTGCTGGCACCACAAAGCGCGAATGATAATAGATGGTAGTTGGACAGCTGGAAAAGGGAAGTAGAATGATAATTTATATGAGGAATTAAGGGCTTGATGGATAGCTTTGTGTGTATGGGATTGACATCTTATGTCTGCCTTGATCTGTTTCCTGCCACTCGAACACGCCTCCTACTTCTGTAACATCTACTTCTTTCTGGTTTTCTTTCTTCATCTCATCCCATGTTCTCCTTCTCCTCCTCTTCCTCCTCCATCAGGCATGGCCTCGTCTTTCACTAAAACATCTCTTAATTGTATTTAACTGCCTCCACCACCACTCCTCTCCCTGACCTGTTCTTCACCCCTTCAGTTCAGCTTGCTTCTTCACTCCATCACCAAAATAAATAAACAAGACATCAAAATCAATTTTAAAAATAAAATAATACAAGTCCTGATTGCCTTTGTCAATCATTTGTCTCTTTTCTTTTCTTTTATCTAGTCTGGCTTTTATAAGGGTGTGGCAGGCTCACAGGTAACCCTTTCCAGTCTAGTGAATCAATCCCGTGCCATGCTGGAGGAGCAGGCACGCCACCTGCTGACAGAGGCGGAGCGACAGACCATGGTCTACTACGTGGAGGAGTACCGGGACGGACACATAGGAGTGGAGCAGCTGGTCATGGCGCTGTTTGAGCTGCTGAACACGCACGCAAAGGTAATCTATGAGGAGGCTTGTGTGAGTCTGACAAAGTAAAGAGAAAGATCAAAAGAGAATACATTTTCTGCCTGTGTTCTCCTGTAAAGTCTCTGTGTGGGATTGAAGTTTTCTTAGCTCTTCTGAGATTTATGCTTGTTTTATTTTTCCTTCCTCCCCAGCTCTTAAAAGTGTTGTGATTTTCTCATAGTCTGCAGAAGTTCACCTTATAAAAAAACACGATAAATCAAAGACATTTTATTTCCAATTTCTTAAGTACACTGCAGTATCATGGGCCGACAGAAAGCCTGTGCAAATGGCATTAATGTATTTAGAGATACTGTACGAGCAAGTACACCAAAAAAGCAATTTCATTTAAAAAATAATTTAGAAAACTAGATTTTATTCAACTTCAATGAGCCAAAGTGACCACAAAATAAAGCTAATGTATAAATAAAGAAGCTCCATCTTAGTGCACTTAGTTTTCTCAGTATAATGTGTAAAATGTACCAAAAAACCCCACAAATGAAAAAAAAAAACACACACACAATTTACAGTAATTTCAAAAACCAGCCTGTGTTGGTTGTTTTTCACAGGTAAACCTAACACTGAAGAATCCCTCATTTCATTTTCACGCAGGAAATCTTTTAACATAATTCTCTGTATCTGACACAGTTTTTCACATGAAGCCAAATACCTCAGGCACTACGTACTTTTCATCTAACTGGAGAATGTGCCCAGGACTGGATAGTGCTCCAGCTTCACCATGGTTACTGCAGCTGATCTGATGCCATTGTAGACAGTCTGTGTTGTCGACTGACTGCACATATGGAGTGACTCATTCCCAGCTCTTTTGTCCACTCTGCTATCCTTAGGCATTGGATCTATTTTTATCAGAGCCGCTGATGCAGCTCACTTAAGAGCGTAGATTAATGCCATTCATTATTAGCAATTAACCTAAAACTCAGTGGCGCATTTTATTTGTTTCTGACATTGTTTAAACAAACCAAATTATGTTTGTGGTTAGAGAGAAAGAAGCAGGAGATAAAGGGAGGAAATAAGGGAAGGAGACCACCTGTCTGATTGTGTTTGGCCTTTCTCTGCTCTCTGCAATGACTTACTGCACCTTAACAAAGTCATATTCACAACACAGTTGTTCTCATTTACATATTTGCCAGTTCAGACAGTAAAATGGGAATGCAATTTGCTCACAAATACTCTGTTGACCGGCAGTCATTACCAGTCTGCTCAGCTGCAAATTTAATTATTTTATATTCATTGCATCACCAAAAACGTAAACACAATTACAGGTTAATGACAGGAGAGTTGCTGCTAGATCAGCTAAAGTAGAAAGAAAATATGGTCTGCTGGTATATGGTTGCATCTGTAGAGTTATGATGATACACGGTTTAATTTTATTTTGGTTCTCTACATCAAAATAATGTATTATTCAAATAGTTCAGTCTAGGGCTAGTTACAATATCAGATTTTTACTACACAGTTATACAGTGAGTGTGTTATCAAGGAAAACATACTTGTTACTGTCTAGGAGCAAAATATCAGGAAAACTCGTTGGGTTTGTTTATTGTGTGTTCTGTCCCTTTTCCGTGTAACTGTATAACTATAACCACAGAAAAAGAACCACTGTGGCATGACTTACAATATTATCATGTATAATTTATATGTATTGTACAGTTCTGTGCAAAAAGTCTTGAGCTGTCCCTTGCTTTTTATATTTTGCTTTCAAGAAATCAAAATTTTCCTTGTAATTTTTAAAGTGGTCTTTCAGTGTAAACTGCTTTTTCACTCATTGTCAGTCCCATCTTTCTACCTGAGCCTTTTATTTGTGGGGTTTTTTTGTTTGTTTGTTTTTAGTTAAGCCACTTACACACTGTTCACAGATGAAAAATGCACCTAAGTGAAGAGATTAATCAGTGTTTTGTCTTCAAATAACAGACAATTACCAAAGAACCAATTTTAAATTTTAAATATATCTTTCAATTTTTAATATCAGCCTGTCACAAAAATCTAATAATTTGAGAGTGACCTCATCAAGAAGCCATTCTTAAGGAAGGAAACAGGAGATGTGTCAAATTACAAAAAAAACTGGACTAAAAATTAGCAGCAGCAGGAATAATGGATCCAAATTTGAAATATTTGGCTCAAATTGTCATCAATAAGTACATAAGAGGTCAGGAGAGAGGTGCAACAGTGAGTGTCTGCTGACGAGACGCCTGGAGAACTATTCCTGAAAACTACTAAAAGAATTTACAAGAAAGCTTGCCTAAGAGATTGGTTGGTCATATAAAATATTGACTTTCAGCCTTATTAGATTTGTATGAACTCTGTTTTCCATATTTTTGCGTATTTAAATAAATTGGTGGACCTATTTTCTCATAAATTATAAATAAAAGACTTTTGCATGATGCTGTGAGCACAAAGTCAGTGTTTCATTTTTAAATACTACAGTTATTGTGAGGACTGGGTTCACTCACTACTCCCTGAGAGTGGTATTTACTGGGGAAGTGGATGAGAAATATCAGTACATCAAAACCTACAGGTTCATGCTCATTCTATCCATGCTTTCATTTTCTCTCACCAGAACTATTGTAACTCAGTCTTCACCTGTTCAGTAAAGCCTCCCTGGATCAAACGCAGCTGCAAAGCTCCTTACCAGATCCTCGAAGCACTCTCACCTCACACCTGTGCCAGTCTCACTGTACTTGCTCCCATTATTCAGAATTCTTTCAAGCTTCTGGAGTTCACCTTTAAGTCTTTGAATGGTGAATCACATCAGCAAACTTTTGCACCCATATATGACTCTCAAGCGGGACCCTCAAGTCATCTAATGTGGGCTCTATATCCACCCCTAAATCTGGACTAAAGTGTCATGGCCTCCACTCTTTCAAAACACTCCAATCTACAATCTGTAAGATCAGCGGACTTGTTCTGGATTTGGATATTATTTTTTCTTTTGGTTTTTTATCTTTATTTTTATCTCTGAAATCCTGGTGGTTTTGTTATTTTGGTAAGGGGATTTTGTTGGGGTTTTTTTTTTTTTTGGGGGGGGGGGGGGTGTTTGTTTTGTGGTTGGTTGGTTTGTTGGTTGGTTTTAAGTACCGTAACTTATGATTTGTATCTTAAAGAGCCCAATATAAATAAGTTCACTTACTTCAACTTGTAAACACCCCCAGTAATATTTGGTTAATTGTTCCTCAGCAAGTTGCATCCAACAGCATGTTTAACAGTATAGGTTTAAAAGCCTCACCTTTTCTTCCCTAAACATACTTCTTATCACTGTGGCCAAAAACCTCAACCTTTGTCTTATCTGACTACAAGTTTTTTTCCAAAAAGGGACTTGGCTTTGATCGTGGAGCAGGGGCTTCTTTCTCAGTTGACCTCTTGTTCGTCCGTGGTGATGTAAAACTAACTTCACTGTGAACAGTGACACTGTTGTTCTAACATTTTCCAGATGATAGCATTACCATTAGAAAAAAAAAGGATTTACTCCTAATTAAAGATCAGTCCCCCAACAGAGTCTGTCAAATCACTCTGTCTCCTTGTTTCTCCTTCTCTGTACTTTCCTCCCCTCAGTTCTCCTTGCTGTCTGAAGTACGAGGCCTGGTTGCGCCACAGGACCTGGAGCGTTTTGATGGGCTGGTCCTTCGACGGGAAATTCAGGCCCTTAAAGCTCGACAGGGGGCAGCTGGCGCCTCAGCCCTGCAGCCAGACTCCCTGTCCATGGTGTCATATCCAGACACTCTGACATCATCTTCAGCCAGCTTCATGACCAACACCACCCTCAGCTCTGCACGGGTAAGTAGTGCTTACTAGTGGAATGATTATGTGATTCTACTTAATTAGTGGGTACTCTTAACTAAGATGAACGTTTACAATAGAAAACAACATTAAAACATTTAAATTAATTTATTTCCTTAAAAAATACTTACAGTAATTTTGAACCTGCTGCTATTACTATTTATTTCTGACACTTTGAGGGCAAAGCAGCAGTCTAGTCTGCTGCATATAATATGATGGATGGATTGGAGTATTTCCTTTTTTCCTAGTTCGCCTTGCTGTCTGACTGTTTGTATTGCAATTGCTTCCTTTCCTGTTTGGCCGTCTGCTCACTCCTCTGTCTCTCTTGGCTTAGTGTGAAAGACAGAGATGGTAGTGTGATATGTCTCCATGGATTATTACAGTTTCTACTGCAGAATAGATACTCTTCTGGTGTGGACTTTGTTGGCTGAACAGTGATATGTTTCGCTGCCTACCTTCTGAGATTACAAAGTCTTTTTGCTGATATTTGATAGGCTGCGTTTTTCTTCCACCTTGATAACCCCCTCACTTCCATCTCACCCCTAAAAACCTTCCCTCCCTCTCTCCCTCTGTAGGAGAGGCTGCTGTGGCTGATAGATATTATGGAGGTAGGAATTACTGCTGAAAATGATGAATGCTTTCCATCACAGACCCACACATACAGAATACACACTCGAGTTAAGTTCCTCCGTAGGCAGACAGACATGCATGCGTTCCAGCTCTCACCTTGGTTTGTGGTGTTTTTAAATGGTTTGCAGTGCTTTTCTTCCTTCTTGCCTTTTTCTTTCTTTCCTTAATTTGAACAAGAAATGTCAAAAGGGTGTAAGCACCAACTGCTCTGGATATTATATAAAATGATATCCACGACTGACATTTTTAAGCTGATATGTCCCAATTTCGCCATCAACTTCTTGGCATTATTGAGCCACAAGGTCCCATATGTAAACTGTTACAGGTGATAAGTTATCAACTAAAGCTGGCTAATGCTACAGTCACAATAGGCAAAACAATTGTTTCACACCACAACATGACCAAACTTATTGGTAGCTATCAGCAAGCTTCTGGTTGCTGTGTTCAAAGCACATTTAGTGTTTTAAGATGGAGATAAAATATCAATAAGTTGGAGTCACTCTGCTATCAGTCTGCAATTGAATAGGAACATCTTGACAGTTACAGTTAGAGCAATCTATGACTATATGGCAATAAGTCATCAAATCTGTTGCCACACACAGAAATTCACATTACCGGTAACTACCTAATTTCAGAGTCTCATTGATTTGAAAGATAAATTCAAAAATTGCTCCACCAGTAGTGACATAGTTGCTGCAGGATCCTGATTTAACTGCAAAACGATATAGGTACTTGGTAACTCGAGCGATTGCACTTAGTCAGACCATGTTTTTGAAGGTTGGTTGACTCCCACTGGGCAACTGCAGCAACTGCCTTGCAATGAAAAGTAGTAGTAGTAGTAATAGTTTCCCAGAGGCTGATGGTGTTGCACACTCAGCCTTTGGGGGACCAGTTGGTTGCCATAACTACAATCACAAGACCAACCACCAGTTTAAAGTTCATAAATTTCATTTTGTAAAATGTGGCAGTTGTTAAGATTCTGAATGTATATGTTAGTGTTGATCACATGTACTTCGCCAATGAGCGAAGTCACTGGGGATGAAACAGTGACTGTGTCACACATGTCCCCACACAGGTCGCTGTACCTGATTGCTGGCTGCTAGGTCTCACTTGACTGTTTTTGTGGGTTTCGGTGCCTTTGAAGTATTTTTCAAAGAATTGCCTGACAGCCAAACTTTGTAGCATTAATTAAATCACAGACAGTATAAATTATGGCCGTAGCTGCCATGATGTCACCTACTGGTTTCAGAATCCTGTTTTGGAGTTTATTGGCTAATGACTTGCCAGTCATAGCTGACTTTACTTTTCAGAATCAGAGGCTCCATTCAACTTTTATACTGTTTATAATATCACATGCTTGTCTAATTATGTTCAGTTTTGGTTTCAGAAAGTCAGAAACACTAACTCACAAAACTAAAGTGCAGGTGGGTGACCCCACAGTGGCTACACCAATCTACATCTTCCTGCGTATGCACGTACTTGTCACTCAAAGTGAGCTTGACTGTAATGGTGCTTAGCATTAACCATAAACTTCACAATCAGAATATTTATAACTCTTTTTAACAGTTTTTAGTTCCTCTAATTGCCACTTGAGGCTTTAAATGTGAGTCAGTTCCTATAGTTTTTGTCATGTCCTCACTGGCTTTGTTTTCCACCCAATGGCGGTTGCTGTTTTGCCCTCAGCTTCAGTCTCAATGAGATTCCTGTCACTAAGACAAAAGTTCAACAAACTATCACCAGGTCTATTTCCTCTGAAGGAATTCTATTAAGAATTTTCAGCAAATATTACATCCCCTCATTTTTCTCTGCAGTGTTATTACCAAAAGGCAACAATGACAATGGTCATTACATTGCATTTATTATATGACACTAACCTAATGAGCCTAATATTTTCTATAGTATACTGCAGCCGCTCCACATGGGAAATTGCTGTTCCTGCCAAGTAGTTAAAGGCTGCTTTTCTCGGGCAAAGACTAAAACTTTGGATTTAGCCATTCTGAGACACCCTGCAATGGAATATACCAGATTCCTTGATTTTATCCTTGTTATTGATCACAATGTACTTGTGATAAGGGACAATGAGCCTGTCTGCATAATTTTAATCACAGCTCTAGTTTACCAGGAAGCTTTTTGCACAGTTCAATTTACAGTAGATCCCACTACAGATGCCAGCAACTCAAACACAAATATGTAAGCATGTAGTGAGTGTGTCAGCATCTTGGTCTTTGGCTGGATAAAGATAAGTGGTTGCACGCACGAACACGCAAACCTGCACACACATACACAGTTTCTAAGCTGACAGCGGAGATAAGCTGTCGACTGTCTGCAGATTTATTCACCAAACAGTCCTTCTCATTCAGATGCCCAGGATGGGTTTTGCCTGCCTTTATACTTTCCCCTCTGAGAAGCAACATTTACATGTGTGACAGATACTGGGTGTGTGCGTGGTGGTCTGCATTCTTACCTTGCATCTATGTGTGTGTCTTGTGGTGCTGTTTTGGGCCCATGGGTGACTGGGTGGGTTTGGGAGAATAAAGACAGTAGATTTCTGAACTAGAGTCAAAGCATGGTATACCCAAGTGAATACAAATGCACACCCTCTGATGCTCACATGTTTTTATAATAGTGTGGATACTCATTGACTTCTTAACTTCTACCCTACAACTAACTGCCAAACCCCCACCCTTACCCTCACGTGAACCTCGTGGACCTAGTCTGAACACTCTAACTAAACATTATTTACATTTTAAACATTAAAATATTACCATTGGTTTGTGGATACAAGCAGGACATCCTGCCTCCTATTCACACATTAGAGCTTAGGAAGCTGGCTGGGGAGAGATGGGGTCCTGGTATGTCTGCTTAGAGTCTTGCTCCACCAACTTGGACCTGAATAAGTTGCAAAAAAATGGATTTGTGGATGGACAGGACCAGACTGTATTATGTTTCCTTTTGAAGATAGAACATCATGCTAGATTTAGGCTACACAATAAAAGCTTGATTATGGTAAGAGCTGAACAATGTAGGGGCATCATCTGGCTGGGAATGAAAATAGGTGCTGTGCACAGTTGATCATTGTTACACATTATACAGGATGTTGTAAATTCCTAATAGAAAAAAAGACATGCTGCCGTAGGCTACAGTCACACTAAGGAAAACAATGGTTGGAGACCACGGCCAGAAAGCTGATTCTGTTCATCTGGAAGCTGCTTTTCAAGTCATTTCTTCAGTTTGGGAAGTCAGAAGAAAACACTCCAGTCTTTCAGTTTTCGATTGAACAAGGTTAAGTTGGCACTTACATGCAATCTGTATTCCACAATACTTTGATTATCTGTGATAAATCTCTAATGGGGCTGCACAGAATCCACACATCAGGTGGACTCTCTCAGCCAAAGACTGGGCTGAATCCATGGGTTAGATTTACAAATTATAAATTTATAAACAAAAGGAAAGAGTTAGTTTATTTCATTAATTACCAACATTCTACCGAGAGCAGTGCAATTAGGGGGCTCAAAAATAAGGACACATAATCAGAAAGCAATATAGTATAAGTGCAGGTTTCTCTCTGTGAAAACAGTGTGGCAGTTCAAATGAACGAGGGGAGGCTGAAGAAGAATTGGTATGTTTATGAAACTCTTCTGTTAGAAGTTGATGGGGTCTGTGTGTGGACCTGAGAACTGAGACACAGGTGAAGCGCAGGGATTATTATTTGGTTTAGATAGAGCTGTTTTGTCACAAACTCTTTCTCCAGACGAACTTGGGATTTGCGTGTAACAGCTGAAGTGTAGAAGAAAACAAAACTTTATTTACCATCTGATCCCAAGCCATCTGTGTGTTAATGAATATACTCTTAGTGTGTCAGCACCCTCAACCTCAACCAGCTGGTCACCGCAACTACAGTCGTGGCCAAAAGTTTTGAGAATGACACAAATATTAGTTTTCACAAAGTTTGCTGCTAAACTGCTGTTAGATCTTTGTCTCAGTTGTTTCTGTGATGTAGTGAAATATAATAACAAGCACTTCATACGTTTCAAAGGCTTTTATCGACAATTACATAACATTTATGCAAAGAGTCAGTATTTGCAGTGTTGGCCCTTCTTTTTCAGGACCTCTGCAATTCGACTGGGCATGCTCTCAATCAGCTTCTGGGCCAAATACTGACTGATAGCAACCCATTCTGCCATAATCACTTCTTGGAGTTTGTCAGCATTAGTGGGTTTTGTTTGTCCACCCACCTCTCGAGGATTGACCACAAGTTCTCAATGGGATTAAGTCTGGGGAGTTTCCAGGCCATGGACCCAAAATATCAACGTTTTGTTCCCCGAGCCACTTAGTTATCACTTTTGCCTTATGGCGCGGTGCTCCATCGTGCGGGAAAATGCATTGTTCTTCACCAAACTGTTGTTGGATTGTTGGAAGAAGTTGCTGTTGGAGGGTGTTTTGGTACCATTCTTTATTCATGGCTGTGTTTTTGGGCAAAATTGTGAGTGAGCCCACTCCCTTGGATGAGAAGCAACCCCACACGTGAACGGTCTCAGGATGCTTTACTGTTGGCATGACACACGACTGATGGTCACGCTCACCTTTTCTTCTCCAGACAAGCCTTTTTCCAGATGCCCCAAACAATCGGAAAGAGGCTTCATCGGAGAATATGACTTTGCCCCAGTCCTCAGCAGTCCATTCACCATACTTTCTGCAGAAGATCAATCTGTCCCTGATGGTTTTTTTGGAGAGAAGTGGCTTCTTTGCTGCCCTTCTTGACACCAGGCCATCTTCCAAAAGTCTTCGATCACACCTGCCTGCTGCCATTGCTGAGCAAGCTCTGCACTTGTGGCACTCCGATCCCGCAGCTGAATCCTCTTTAGGAGACGATCCTGGCGCTTGCTGGACTTTTTTAGACGCCCTGAAGCCTTCTTAACAAAAATTGAACCTCTTTCCTTGAAGTTCTTGATGATCCTATAAATTGTTGATTTAGGTGCAATCTTAGTAGCCACGATATCCTTGCCTGTAAAGCCATTTTTATGCAACGCAATAATGGCTGCATGCGTTTCTTTGCAGGTCACCATGGTTAACAGTGGAAGAACAATGATTTCAAGCATCACCCTCCTTTTAACATGTCAGGTGTGCTATTCTAACCCAATCAGCCTGACATAATGATCTCCAGCCTTGTGCTCGTCAAAATTCTCATCTGAGTTAACAAGACGATTACTGAAATGATCTCAGCAGGTCCTTTGATGACAGCAATGGGATTAAGTTAATTTTCATGGCAAAGAAGGATTATGCAATTCATCTGATCACTCGTCATAACATTCTGGAGTATATGCAAATTGCTATTATACAAACTTAAGCAGCAACTTTTCCAATTTCCAATATTTATGTAATTGTCAAAACTTTTGGCCACAACTGTACATGTAATCAGTCTGAGACAGCTAAAACATTCAGTGCAATCACTCACCAACCACAGGTTTTTCCTGGCAACACTGAGGTTCTTCTCTTTTTTCCACTCTAGTGTGAGTGAGGCCTTATGATGAGGCTAGACAAGAAGAAGTCCAGCATGGCTTTTCCTGTTTTTCTCTCTGTTCCATCAGGTTGACACTTATGAGGACAGTGAGCTACACCAGGCACTAAAAGTATTTCCTACTACTGACCTGTATACACCTGTGATCATGACAAAACAAAATTAGTGTGTGATGTTGCTAGATAGCAGGTTTCAGACACACCACTGGACAAGGTGCTGTGTCTTTACATTCCTTTAAGAGATTTGGCTAGCTAGTACCACCTTCCATATAATATCATTCATGTTATGAAAGATGGCAAGCATAAGAAACAAAGAAGTCAAGTCAATTTGAAACCACAACCTCCAGTAAAAGTAAAACGACCTACTGGCTGTACACCTGGACAATGAACAATTAAAACAGGACCAGGTTTGTCTCTTACAAACTCCTTGGTATCACTCTGCAAAGTCGTTCAGTACAACATTACTTACGTGTTGGTCTTTGAGTCCTCATCGCACTGTGCAATGCTCCATTATATCATGTGTGCATGAGAGACTTTATAAAAGCTGATACACAGTCTTGATGTCATGAGCATCTGCGATGTCGGCTGCAGACAGTTCCATAACCATCTCTCTCCTACATCCGTGCCCTCAAAACACCAGCATCTGCCATTTTCACTGTTCTGCAGGAGTGCAGCAGGATGATGGAAGGATTCATTAGGTTTCTGTAGATCTCACTTTCTTTTGCCTTACTTCACTTAGGCTGAATTCAGACTACTAGTCTTTTGCCTGTTAAACATATTGTTTTATAGTGTCACATTTCTCAATGCCATTGATACTTTTGCTATCACAGTATTATGACATTGACCATTACATCCCTATTGATCAGGGAACAGTGTGTAGCCTTTCAGTGTAATGTAATGAAAATGCAAGATTTTAAGACTGAGATTGCATGTAGTACCAATATTGGCTCGCAGTTTGTCAAGAGGGAAGAGATGATCAGGAATATCAACATATAAAGCAGTGGGTTGCAGACATTACACCAGCACGAATGGTATAACTTGCATAACTGCTTAGGTTTTAAAACTGGAGAATCAGCAGTCTTCCCAGGCGACAAACATCCCAGTATTTCCTGCATTTGTACCTACTGTAATGTTTCTGCTGTGCATTGTAACTGTGGCTAAGCATAATCATACAAACTGTACATACGGATGCAGCAGGCTCTGACTGCTTACAGTGTAAAATTGCATCTCTCCGCGTAGAAAGTCGATTGACTCTTATGATAAATAAATTGGCCGTAAGTGCTCCACATGCGGCAAGGAGGGGTAATTAAGCCAAATTGATGGGGCTTTTGTTTTGGTTTAGTGTCAGAGTTAAATGAAGGGCAGCAATTCTCTAAACTCAGTTCCTCTGCTCTGGAATCGCTCACAGATCTTCTGCAAATTACCTCCTCTCTACCACGCCAGTGGGACTGAGCCTGCAAATCCTGCTTTGAACTGAGCTGATGGTTCTTTATCGATTTCGCAGCATGTGTGTTTTGCTTATGAAAGAAGACATTATGCAGTGAGTGTGGTTGTGTATGTGCGTGTCCTATTTGCTTGCCATCCTCTGAGACTGGCAAGCAAATGCGAACAGAAATGACGTCTTTCCCTTTTCTAGGAGATGAGGAACATTCGCCAAACCCAGTTCGGCTTTGTTTTGGGATAAATAGACATCTGTGTTTAACATCTGTTCAGAAGCTTTCTCACTTTCACTTGAATCAAACTCAAACACCCCTTGTTTCTGTCTTTGGTCTCTGTTTTCACCATCCCATTCTTTCTCTTTCACCTTTCCATCTTCCGATCCTCTTCCTCTGCTTCTGTCCTGCTTTTCCCAGAATGACAGCGTTGTGGAGAGTAATGAGGAGGATCCCCCAGAGAGCCTGAACATGCTGCTGACCGACATCTCTCTGGTGAGCTTGGCAGACAGGCAGGCATAGCCCCTGCTTTAGCCTGATAAAGATGGATACTGCACAAGGGAGCAGTGAGTAGGTGTGGGAGAAAAACAGGTAGAAAAAGATGTGTGTTTGTGTGTGGAGGCTGGATAGAGATGCTTTAGACATGGTGACCTGCAGGGTTTGAATTTTATACTGATGATAAGTGTTTGCACTTCACGAAAACAAAAAGAAACAGAGGTAGAGCTTTGTAAAAGTAAGAGCCTGTGCACACTCTGTCCTTTTTTGTTGTAGTGTAGAAAGAAGAGATTAGACTCAGCACTTTGTGCCATTTGTCCAATTCGCTCCCTACCTGAGCTAGCCATGTTGTTGCGCTATTGTGTTAAAAAAGATACCATGGCAACCCCAGTTTCCAAAGTTATAGACATATCAGGGGGCTCGTTTGTTTATTGTCTGCAGAAGGATAAAAGAGTGAGGTTAAGGAGAAAGCTTTCAGCCTGCTATCACCCAAGGCTACCTGCTGCTCAAATCATACCTTTTGTTTTTTTAAACCATTTTTTACACTCATTTTATGTCTCGCTCCACATGCTGGCACAGCACTCGTGTCACACAGTGTTGTTCATTCCACTGTTGAGTTTTTGTTTGAGCACTCTTGCCTGTAAACCCAGGATCCCAGCAGCATCAAACCACCAAGTTAAATGACTTCAATTCAACAAGAATTGGTGGTGAAGCTGGTGGGAGTTGTTGATTGTGTGTCTAATATGTGAATGCAAGGGAGTGAGTGAAAAAAATGGTGTGAATGACAAGAAAACAATATGAACTCATCTTAAAGGGGACCTATTATGTTCTGTTCAGTGATGGACTCCACTAGAAGCAGTTAAACAAAAATCTACTGTCTGAAGTACAGTGTGTAGATCCTGCCCCTTTAAGTTTACTCTTGGTTTAAATGCACCTTTCTCTGATTGGTTGCCCCTCGCCTGGTTTCTGCAAACAGGACACAGTACTTGTGAGCACCCGTTCCTGTCCCTGGCGAGAGAACTCTCAGCATTGCCCAAGAATCAAAGGAGAGCATTCAAAAACAATCTTTAAAACTACAAAAAAATATATTTTTCTTTTTTTTTCACACTAAAATTTGTACTTTGATGTATGCACTGAGTGTTACTAATATATCAGAATGAAGGATACATGAGTAAAATTATAGGTGCTTAGAAATCAATGTGTGGTTGTCGTTAACTGCTTTCAAATCATAAAAGCAGGTTGCAAAAGTGATGAGAATTATAACAGTTTAGCAAAATTGAAAATGCTCATTAGTTTCACTGAAACTGTGTACATTAAAGCCATTAAAAAACTATGTTGGGGGGAAAAAGTAATTGGAAACTGAGCTTTTAGGACTAAAGCATGCAGCCTTGTGCCACTGGGTTTATTTCTACATATGCTAACCTCATCGTCTGGCCGTGTTTTTAAGGTGAAAAAAAAATATAAGGAAGGATAATAATTTTGGATACATCTTGTTTAACTGCTATTATAACTTTGTTCTCACAGTTTGTGAGTTTCCCAAGCAACTTATCAGAATAAATATGGATTGAAAATTTAATCTAATTTACCAAAAGCTTTACCAATTTCCTCCAGGGGGGAGAGGGAAAATTACATTTTAACAACACTGAAAAAAGCCCAAAGTATGATAATCCAATAAATATTTCAGCAGTCTGCAAGACACTGTGCAGGAGTTATGCATAGTTGGTTCAACAAAGGTTTTTTGTTTGTTTTTCTTAAAGGGACCTTCCAATCATTCGGGTGTGTAGTGAATTTTTTTCAATAAGCAGAAAAAGAAAGTCCATTTCAGCAGTCTCAAACTCCTGACAAAGAAAAACAAAATTACATATAATATCACCATAAATCTAAATATAGGTACACTGACCGACCCTGCATATTATAGACTTACACATAAACAGATCATATAAAAATTCTTCTGTCAAATTGTCTAAAAAACTAATTTCAAAATATTGGCGCACGACCCATTTGACAGTGTCGCTGCATCCTCTGGTGTTTAATGACTACAGACAAAAGTTGAACCTTTCCAGACGCAGAACTGATCTGATTTGCGAGTTTCAGCTCCATCAATCACATGGTTACATTTTTAATCACAGCACATTATGCTACAATATTTTGTTACACCCCTAATCAATGATGATGAATATATCCTCTCACTTCAGGATGATGTTCAGTCCGCCACAGCCGAGTCCCCTCCCTCCTTCAAGCCTCCGCCCCCACCAGGGGTGCAGAGGGGCCCAAGTAGAAGAGATCCGCTCAACAAGTGCCCCTCTTCCGAATCCTCACACTCAGGCTTGTACTTTACAGCCACAGCCTCTAAGAACCACGGCAACGAGCCAGGACACGCTCCTGCCTCACCCTCTTTACACCACAAACGAGAACGCCAGAGGGACCCGTCTCAAGAATACGCAGCTATCAGAAAGAGAGAGCCCTCTGCATTGGCCAAGAAACAGAAAACAACATCCGCTCAGTTGTCCACAGTCACTCAGCACAACATTGGCCCTTTCCCCAGGGTGCAGTCGCCCAGCAGAGGCACTAAACCCGCTGCCCCGTCCCCTTCACCTCCGCCTCCTCCTCCACTCCCTGCCCCTCCTCCGCCCCCTTCTCTGTCCCTTAAGCCAGCGTCCAAGACCAAATCCTCCCCCACCTCCTCTCCTGGGTCTAAACAGCAGTTTGTTACAGTGGAGGTTCACAGGCCCAACGCAGAACCTGATGTCAATGAGGTGCGGCCACTTCCCCAAGCTCGAGGTATGAAATACAGAGCTACAGATCTGATATGTTGAAAATCGTGCGCTGTATAGAAAAGATGGGTAACAGCCCAAGTGACCTTTACGTTTGGTCCTATTTTAAAGTCAAGTGTTTCACTGTCTCCATTATGGTGTTTTTGAGAGATAGATCCGAATGAGAAACCAATGCACGCTTCTTTTTTTTTACCTTAATCTTAGCCTTTTTGATACCATTAAAAACAAAAAGAAAATAAAACAAAGGTACATGTGAAGAGTATGAAGAGTAAAAAAACAAATTCTAAACTGACCTTATGTTAGATGCAAATCTAAAAATGATCCTCAAAGCTTTTCAAAAGTTTTTACTTTGCCTTTTAATATGAGGAAGATTTTCTTTCTAGCTGAGGGGTTTGATATCATTTGTTTTACCCAGTCATATTTAGCTTTGTGGTTGAAGACCGTAATTTACTAAAATAAACATTTCGTCTTTAGTCTGAATTTAAACTGGCATTTGAGACTATACCTTCATTGAAAAAGTGTTTACTCAGGTCACAGGGAAACGCATCCAAAGCAGTTACCCCCTGCTGACCATTAGGGAGAATGCAGGTTTAAAGCCTCTCAGTTTTCAGACCTGAAAGGTAGAGCCGTCTTTTATATACAGTCTATGAGCCAAACAATGAAATAAATCGAGGATGAAGTTTGTTTGTTTTTAAAAGAATTTGATACATATGGTTACAGATTTGTTTTAAAATTAATCTGTTAACAATTCAATTTAAGTGACTGGGTATTTATCTATAAAATATTCCAAAATAAAATGAAAAATTATTTGCACGAATTAATCGGTTCCAATACTTGGAGCTGATAATTTAAGCACTACAGACAAACTCAAATTAAAAGATTGTGCTTTGCATTTAGGGACAATATTTAATGTCTTGGGATTTTCTAACCCTGTGTGATCTAATCTAACATCTATGAATTAAACGACTGATGCATCATTCACATGGGCAGTTTGCTGCAATTGTAATCCTTTCAGTCAGTGGGATCCTGGTCAGCAGGTTATGAAACTGTGCTTTGGATACAGAATTGACAGAATTAAACGTGCTGAAGTTTGAACACATTTACTGATACTGTTCAAATTCTCAGATTTGCTAATTATTATTAAATATGCAGTGTCAGATATAAAGGAGGGTGAAAAATGTTCGGTGTATAATCTTTCTAAATATGTGTTTGCTTGGGCTTAATGAGCTTAATTGAGCAAATACCCAGAAGATTGGAAATTACTCATACTGTATGCAAACATCACTAATCTAAACAAGCTTTTAATTTGGCATCAAATAAGATGATTTTCCAAAAGACATCAAAAAATAGTTTTTTTGCTTAATAACATCTTTACCTAAAAAAACTTCCCTTTATTTGATACCATGTTCTACTTCAGTGAGCTATATACACACTTTGAATTTTAATGGTTTAGAGGTCAAAAAAATGCATGCTATGTTTAGATTCCCTGACTTAATGTGTGCCTGCTTCCCCTCAGGTGGCACCCTGTCTCAGCTGTCAGACAGTGGCCAAACCCTCAGTGAGGACAGCGGGGTGGACATAGCTGAGTCAGGACACGTCAGGAAAGAAAGTAGCTCCCATTCCTCACGCACACACCTCCCCCGAGACACCCAGGAGGGAGGCGGGGGGGACAACCCCTCCAAACCGGTGAGGGGGGTTCTTCAGTGCAGCTCAAAGCTAAACATGCATGGAAGATTGAATTAACGCTCAAACTTCAGGAAATTAGACATGTATAATTTAGCCATGAGTACTCTTGTATTTCTCTCTTTGTGAGGACCAGATTATGGTTTAAGAATGACATTCGCGAGTCGTTTTCACACTTGCACCTCAGACATTATCAAAGGCACATTCTCACTAGTGGAATTACTCTGTGCCGTTTGGTCAAGGTAAATCATGCAAGAGCAACTACTCATTATGCCGAGGAGCTAGAGGCAAATCCACCAGACTAGTACCTCCACTATTCATACATTGTCCTGATTAAACAACAGCTAATGTGTGATACAACTCCATGGGACAATTTCATTCTTCAAGCACCTCTATCCTACAAAATAGGAAAAAGGCTTTATTATTAAATGGCCACATTTAGAAATTAAAGGGCATTTTTGGACTTTTAAGGTCACATTTCAATATTAAATAACATTTCTCCAAGGTGGGGATGTTCTTGAACAACAGCTGTTTTGGAAATCTGAAAAATACCTTTTTTTAAACTGTGGGTCTTTTTTAGAAGCAGTTTTGAAAGCTATATCTTTGGTATTTTAAACTCAAGGGCATTTTTGGTAACCTTGTGGGAAAGTAGAGACATTTTTTTGAAAATAAATATGAAAAGTGGACAGATTTTCTTGGATCCTCACTTCATCAAAGGGCTCAGGTTCAGGGGAAATGGGTCAGAACTGTATTCGGCTTGTAGTTAAGGATTTATGTGTTAAGAAATGAATGTCCGTCCAAGGACAGAGTGGGTCCTCACAAGCAGAGAAGTACAAGTGTGTGTGTGTGTGTGTGTGTGTGTGTGTGTGTGTGTATGCACTTAATTGCTAATCCTCCTCGAGAGTCTGTTCTTAATCCTAACCTTGATCTTTTCTCTCCTCCCTCTGTTTGCTCATGCAGATTGTTTCCTTTGTCTCACTCATTTGTTTATTTCTTACCCATGTCATTCATCGAGTCACATGCTCCATCATTTGTTTAATCACTGACTGCGCTGTAGCCTAATGAAATTCACAAATCCCTCTCTGGTTCTTAATGATTGATGGAAGGAATAACAAGCAAGGATGGGAGTAGTCTGATTGTTTATGGAGAGAGAGCTGATAAATTCAGCATCCAAAGAGATTGTGTAACATAAAAAAAGCTGCCTTTTTACTACCAAGAAGCAAAAATGTTTTCTTCTGCTTGTTCCTGAGTGTCAGGCAAGTGGTTGCAGAAAAGAGTGGAGTTATGTGCTCATAAAATCTTGCCCTTAATAAACTTAAGGAAGGCATTTTTAAGTCTTCTCATCTTTATGTCAAACAAAAGACAGCAGAAAGCAGAACTGTGGGGCAGTTACCTGAGTAAGTATATAAGTATGGCTTGAATTCATTCAAGAAAATAGAGTAAACCACTGATCACGTAACTGGATATTTCTCTCTTGCCAGTTTTAAAATGCTGAAACATGTTTTTGTGGGTCTTCCGTTCATGTTCTAAGATAGATGAGTATCTGATGTTGTCCTGGGTAATAGCATTCACAACTTCCTTTCATTGGCACCAAGCAATAATATTCTCTGGGCTATTGAAGTATGTCAGTGGTGTAGGGAATTGTTTTGCTTAAGGTTTTCACTAAGAAGCTCTAGATTGTCATTGTCTCCAAGTTCCAGCATGCTACTGCATAAAAGAGACAGTTGATTAATGGATGTCCCACATCCATCTCTTCCAAACCACATCCCTACTACACACTCCTTTATGTCAGAAAGGTCACTCATAGACTGGTTTTCTTAATCCAAGAGTAAAACAAACAGGTTTTGATAAAGGTTTTGGGAAAAGACGTGTTGGATCCAAAATATGAGACGGACAAAAGGAACAAAGTGAGAGATAGAATGTCAAGCATTTAAAGGGCTAGATATTTTACTCTGGAGGTGATGTAGCCCTCACTTACGCAAGGCTAAAATGAGTATGGATGATTATATAAGCATATCTCTTAGTCCTCAGTCACACAGGCCTGTAAGCAACCCTTTGGCCACCTGTTTTAGCTGGTCTTCGGTCAAATCTGTACTACCTGACTGGTTGGCAAGTGGTTGCTGGAGATTGCTAACTGGTGCTGTGTGAAATCCAAAAGGAAACATCCTTGTGATTGTGTTGGTTGCCTGCAAACATTCGTTTGCATGAAAGAAGCCAACATGCCTGCAAACACTCGTATAATCCAAATCAGAAATGGAGCACATTGACCTCCAAAGTAAAATGTATGCCTTACTGCTGAAACCAACACATTTCAAAAGGCACAACTTTTACTTTGAAGCTTACTGATGTTCATTTCCAGTTTGTACTGCACTCTTCACAGTTTCACTTTTTCTTAGCAAGCAGTTGGTGAGTGTTTGCAGACAATGCAGGACCTTCAGTGCAAATTACAGGCAACAATAAGGATCTGCTAGCAACCAAAGGAATTGTAAGGAGGTTTTGAATCCACCATCACAAACCAGTTTGCAACCAATTTCACCTTGCAACAGCAATATCCATCTACCAGTCACTAACCAGTCAGGGATCACTCATTTTTCCCTAGCGACTGATGGTTTCCAAGGAGTTACTGACTGGTCTCAAGGTTTTTGTGACTTGGGCTTTTGTAGCCAATTTCACATCAACTGCCAGCAGCTAATTGGGGAACACTCACTTTTCCTTTTATGACCAATTGCCAGTTGATTGCCAGGAATATGTATGGCACTATACAAGCCTCCTAAAAACAAGCTCAGGAGAAAAATAGTAGCTCCATGTAGCAGTGGAGTGTGGTTTAGAGACTGCAGGTGGAGTATTGCCCAGTAAGTTGATGCAGTTACAAATGGTAACTGATTAGTATCTTACTTATTCTGCAGTTGGATGCTGGAACTTGGCGTTTGAGACAAAGGAATCACAGCGGACAGAAGTCTGTGTTCCTGTGTTATTGTAGTGAAGTTGAGTGGACTTTACCCACCGGGTAAGTGTCATTGCACAGAGTGTGTTTGGCAGATCTGAATAGACGTTTGGTGATGGCACGAACTAGTCTCTGCCTCTTCTGTGTGCTGAGGGGAACTCATGAGTCGGTGAGGCTATAGTAGCTGAGAGGTTACACTCCTGTATGCAGGTATTTACTGCCACTCCAACAATATAAGTATGCACACACAAATTTAACAAATGTTTGTGAAGCTTAACAGGCAAGGGAACAAAGCAGCCACAACACCCATAAGAATTTCTGCTTATTGAGAGCTTTGGCTATACATGCTGTCGCAGGGAACACACTCAAAGTTGAATTCTGAATTCTGATTGTCAAATTCAACTCAAACCTTTTGACAGTTTGGGGGCGGAAACCAAGGGAGTAATTGAGCCTCTTATGAGCCATCACAAGGCACTGACACGCACATCTCAGTGACTGACGGCTTCGGTTAACTGTGTTAAACTAAGTTACACTGTGGCAGCAGTGTGGGTGTCATTTTAAGTTGTAAATTATAAACAGTTCCTTTTGAATGTACTGACAACTATCACGGGACAACTTTGGTTCAGAAGAAATCTAAGAAATGGGCGGTTGTTCTGACAAGTTCTGAAGTCCCTACTCAGCCATTTTGCATGAGTCTATTTATAGTATAATAATCTAATAATCTAATGTTCTACTGTCTAATAGCCATGATTATAAATATATTAGCAACTGTAGCTGTTAAACCACAGCCAGTACAACCCATCAGGGCCTTGTAAGGCTATACTGGTGTTTTTATAAGTTATGTTTGACTTTATGACTTTCTGTGTCGTTTCTGGGATGCTTAGGACTCAAATTGCACTGCTGGAAATAGTGTATTTTGATGCATATGCTATTTGTTTTGCAAATTTGCATTATAATACTTATTTTCGTTTTTCCTGCAGTATGTAAAAATTGGTGAATTTCAAAAATAAAACTATGAAGACACTCAAAATAAATTTCCTGTGGTGGGAAACTATTTTGTGCAACTTTTTTGTATTTACAGTTTTGAGGGATAAGCCTCTTAAATTTCTCTAACTAGAAATATATGTTAAAAAAACAAAAACAATTTTCATTTTTTTTGTAGTTTATTGCACTTTTTTGCAATTTATGTAATTACTATGCACTTAATGCATACATATATTACAATCTGGGCTATAATGGTTGTATTGGTGTACAGCAACTTGAAATGCTCCCAAAAATGGCTCTACAGCATGTAAAAATATAATATAAGCTCTGGCGGACTTGGTTCTATGGTAGGTCTTAAAGGGTTAATAACGTAACCCTTTCCTTACTACTAAAAAAAACGAGCTGCTGTAGTTTTTATTTCAGTTCTTGGCAGAAAGTGTAGCTTGTTAAACCTTTGTTTTATTTCTGATTCAACCTCTCTGTCTCCTTTTTTTTTTCTTAAAGCACTTTTATTGTTGATTCCTTGGATCCTCTGGGAGTTTATCAGGGATCCAGGCCCAAGTCCTCTTAAAACAGAAATAATGGCTTGGTTAACAGGTTTTCAGGATGTCTGAAGTATTCAGTAATCCAGTGATTGTTGTAGTACACTCAAGCCCAAAGCACATTGGAACTTTTAATAGTTAATGTTTTTTTAATTATACATGTTATACAAGTTAACCACTACACTGAATCCCTTTAACTCACACTGATCTTGGAACCTGGACATAAAAACCCAAAAACATGTTTCAGATTCATTTATAAAGGAAATAAACACCTATAAATGGAAGGAAACTGTACAAGACCCAGCATAAACATGACTACATCATGGAAATGGAAATTAAATGTGTTTTATTTTGTCCTCTGACTTGTGAAGGTGTTAAATTGATTGCTCATTCAGAATAAACAAGGGAAACCATTAGGAAGCTCATTGTTGCTCCATTAAAATAGCCAAACATACAGTATAGTACAGTGTAATCCATGCAAATTGCAACAAATCGAAGGCAGATTATCTTATAAAGTTATGAATGTATTTATAAATATGCCTTTCATTTCGTGTTCCTCACTCTGCCTTATTTCAGCCAGGGCTTTTGGAGCCTACCGCTACACTAGTGAGGGTGGCAAAGACTGCCAGCACCCTGGGTATTGCCATTGAAGGTGGAGCCAACACTCGCCAGCCGCTGCCACGAATTGTGACAATACAGGTAAGTCAGGAAGAACATAAAATAACATTGAAAGTTGGACCTCTTATGCTCATTTCCAGTGTATCACTAGTAGAGTAGCTTTCCATGTTTAACAATTCAAAATAACGCATATTTATCTTAAACTGGACTTCGCCTACTTATACCGATTGGTTATGATTTTTGTGCCTGTAAAACAAATTTCATAGTTTGAGGAGCCAGCAAAGGTTGCTTGGTTATCTGACTAGGATGCCTCCTGGGTGCCTTCAGGGCAAAGTGTTCTGACCATATCCAATCGAGAGGAGGCCACGTGGTAAATCAAGGACACACTGGAAAGATTATGTCTCTCAGCTAGCCTAGGAACGGCTAAGGGGTTGATAGATGGATATTTGATGTACACAATGCTGTCACTCCAATACGTTTTCCACCTGAATGGAGGAACCATATATATGTGGGACTTCTGGACTCACAACCAGAGCTTCAGTGAGATGACCATATTAGGCTACCCCCTCATATACTGAACCAAGAGTAGAATAATCTTTAATATGCGTTTAAAATAAACAGTCACCATAATAACACTGCTAAATTCAGTTCTCTGCTTACTCTGCTAACATGCAGTATTTTCATGAGTACTGTCCTCGCGTGGTTGAGCTGTGTTTTCTTTATCCTTGAAACACTTTGGATTTTCTGTAATAGTGCCACGTGCACACCTTCCAGCTGGGATCTTGTGTTCTTTAAGGCTTCATAAGGATTCACACAGCAGCTGAACTCACACTGAGATTTCTGCTAATTTTGTCGTCATTGGGGCTCTACAGAGATGATTACAACATTAATGGCCTACATGTATAAGCCCTAGCTGCCTGGAGATTTTGGTAATTACTTTGTCGGGATGAGGCACTTGGTATTGTGTGTGTGTGTGTGTGTGTGTGTGTGTGTGTGTGTGTGTGTGTGTGTGTGTGTGTGTGTGTGTGTGTGTGTGTGTGTGTGTGTGTGTGTGTTAAAGGGTAAAGGCAAAGGGCAGAAACAGCAAATTACACAGCACCTTTTTATCTAAAAGGTAGAAGTCATAGGCTCATTTCAAATACTTAATGTTCAGTTTAATGCTGTGGCTAAATAGAGTTGCAGTTATATTTCCCACAAAGACTTTTTCATTTATAGCATATCTGTCATATTTAAAAATACTCAAAATTCTGAGCTCCCAGCTATGCGGAGTGACAGAAAAATTCTGAAAGCTTTGCTTGAAATGGCAGGTTAGTCACCTCTAAAGAAAGGTATTACTTGTGGCTGTGAATGCATATATCTGTCTGCCATGATAATTTGCAAGCCAACAAATCTTGCTCTAGTTCAGGACTATATGCCACACTAATCATTTTCTAAACACAGACAATGAGACAGTTACAATTTTAATATCAGTGCTAGGAGCAGCTACAGACTCCAGTCTACTCTCCAGTCAAAGCTGTCTCTCAGCCTCCCACTCCACAGAGGTGGTGATTGAAATAAAAAAAAAAAAAGGTGGCTGATTGCAAAGGAAGGGATAAAAGGATTGGAAATCAGCACATTCAAAATCAAAAGCAGGCTGGAAGAAAGGACAGCAAGTGTGAGTAAAGGACACAAAAAAGTGAGAGCAGTGTTAATAAGGAGAAGAAGGATGAGGAGGATTTGTACAGATGATAAACTGGAGGTTTGGTGGGTAGATCCTGTATTTGGGTATTTGTGTGGGTGTTTCAAAAGTGATTGTTAGGAGGGTTGCAAAGGGATTTGAAGCACTAGTAGCTGTGCTAGTGCTACAAATCTCCCAGACAAGTATTCTCTACCCTTCAAATGTCTTGCTCTCGCTTTTCTTATGTCTTATGTTCCTTTTTTGTGTTTTCCTCAAAGAAGAACAAAGTTTTGTTTCACATTCATCTCTTTGGTTATTGTACAATCCTCAATAGAAGTTTCATGTGCATTCATTCAGTGAGAGAAAAAAAGACACCAGGTCCTTAATAAACAGGAAAATCTCAGATAGCACTTGTTTTGCTTGAATGGATTTTTCTGCATCATGCATCATCGGGCGTTGTGTTGGTCCATCGTAGGCTCCTGAAGCTCAGCTTATCAGGAGAGCTCTCGTATTAAAGAGATAAACAGTACAAGTCTTATTTTTTATGCATTTTTGCTTAGCTCAAATATTAAACTAAGCTTTCGAAAGAAATGAGCAAGTGGTGTCTTATCACTTTTCAAGACGGCCAGCACTGCAGCTGTTTTGTACTTCCATTCAGCCGCCACTCTGATATGCAAGCCAGCAGGCCTTCAGCCCCGGATGGTCTGTGATATCGAAGGTTTCATAAGCACAGAGAGCAAGGAAGTTCAACTTAAAAGATGCAACCACTCAAAAGGTTTGACCCCAAACTATTTCTTTTTAACCTCAGACACTTCTCCAAGAGAGTAATAAACATGAAAAAGTGCCTCATTGCAGTGGCTAATAGCAAAGGAAGTAGGTGCTTTTTCTTGCATGGGGAGCCCCAGTGGAGCCATTGGACACAAGGTTAGAGCTCATTTCATGAGAGAAGTTTAACTCAGCTAAAGATAAGTTAAATTATTCATGCAAATCAATTTTTAAAATCAAGTCGAAGTTATTTCTGAAACTAATTAGCACATTTTCAGCGCAGTGGTTCACTTGGGTTATTACCTTTAAGACAAAACCACAAGCTTTATGATACCCTTGCTACATCCCTGAACAATAATGCTATATAGCTTCACAGTTATTTACAGACATTAATAATAAGGCAGCCTTAAGGTCACTTGTAACAAAGCGAAAGGAGACTTCCACATGCTCAGGTTTCAAGGTGGAAAAGAAGGCTGTGAAAAGTTTGCTCTGTCACCCGGGGAATGCTAACTCGATGTTATTAGGCCCTTGAGCAAGGCACACAACCTCAGTACTTCTCACAGTCAGGACCAAGCATCAGAATGATAAACTTGCTCTGGAAATAAAATAAAAAAAATGTTTTTAGCTTTCCACTTGGCATCCACCTCACCCAGGGGAAAAATGCAGGCATCACATCAGAGCAGGTACCCTGTACAATGGACACTCTCTGCAGTATTGAAAGTAAACACTGTGGAGTCATAATACGGCAAACCTCTGGCTTATGTGTTTCGTATCTCTCTGGGCACCGGGGCTGTCATCTTAGGTCACTTCAATCACAAATACAGAGGATGAAGTGACGACAAAAACACTGCTGCTGGCTGGCCTTTCCACTTGTTATCAGTCCCCATCACCGCTCATTGAAGCGACAGCTCTTTATCACAGCCATCTTCACATTATGATGACCAAGTGCTCCCCTAACACTGAGTAATTGTTGTAGCTTAAATAACCAACATGATGATGCAGCCCTTGTCTGGAAAGAAATATTGATGTTTTTAGCTCTCATAGTCACATATAATGAGGTCACCTAGCAGGGTCACAGGAAGAAAGACATAAAACTGGTGGTTTTTTTTGTTGTTTTTCTTTAAGATGAAAACTATTTTCAAAATGCATCCTGTTATGTTTGGCTTTAAAGAATTCTTTTTGGATTTTGATGCTCTGCAATCATTTTGTTATAGTGAGGTAATAAGCTGGTGACAAAAAGGTAATCATGTACAGCAGAACAGTCTTTACCTAAACTCAGATAAAGTGAATAACAGCACTCCCTGACTGCACCAGCCTCTCCAACAATTCATAATGTAGAAGCTCCTCAGAAAGTCCAAGGCATTTATCTGACATCTGAACTCCTATTTTAATCAAACACCTGCAAAATGAACAAGTTTCATCAGTGGTCCCAAACAATCCATTGACAAGATCCCAGTGATAGATACCACATATCCTGAGTCCATTTGTCAGCAAGCTGAGGTGTGTTAGCTGGCGCAAGATGAAGCTACACAATATTAGACAGGTCGTTCTGATATTCTGGCTATCAAATATGTAAAAGAGTAGAAATGTGTCAAAAACAGAAAATAATAGCCAGGAATGCGATGAAGCAAAGCTATTTAGTATAGTGGTGAAATAATTTCATAATAATGTGGATACATACTAACAATTATATTAATCTGTGAAGTTGGATTTGGTTATAAATAAAAAAAAATGAAGGTATAAATTTATAAACTGAATATTATAATTATGCCCTTTATCCTCTCATATTCCCAACTTACCTATTGTTAAAACCAAGCTACTATTACTTTATTACTAGACTGAGATTCTTCAGTGCACCTAATAGCTGACTGCATGACACTGGAAGCTGATATTTTTTTGACAAAACATGCACTAAACAGTAACAGGGACAGTTTGTAGAGACAATAGATCATAAAACAAAGACCATGAAATCATGTCATGTCTTGTGCATGCAGAGTGTTTTATACATTTGTATTAATATTTTTATAATATTTTCAACTTTTTTTGATAGAAAAACATCTTAATGCCTGTATTTTATATGATTGGGTGTGTTTATGCTGATTAAATACTTTTTCTCATATTTATGCTGCCTTATTTACATTTTATTTGGTACCGAAACAATTGAAATGACTTTGGTGTAAGTGAACGGCAGTAATTATCATCAACTCTAGGAAGCTTTTTAAACCTGGTAAAGTAAGTGGTAAAGTAACCCTGTTTGGCAGGTTAGAAACAAATATATTCTGGCTGGCTGAAGAGTAAAGCCAGTTTAAATCACTTTCATAAACTCTGACCATATAAAAAGCAAATAAATGTTGCTTTTTGGAATAGACTTGAATCTGAAGCTTTTGTGTGGCTTAATTATCTAAAATAATGCCTTTTCTATTCATATTTATTAAATATTTTACATATATAACCTCATGTATAATTTGACTTGACTTATTATTAGTCATTATGGAGATTTAAAGCCCAATTTCAAGATTATGTCTCTGTCATTCTTTTTTTTAGAAGTTAAAATTCATATAAATAACACTTTCAGACTGCAAGGCTTGTCCAAGGCTGCCTATTCTGCATTTGCTGGCAAATATCATTCACAGAAATATTATCCAGGAGGAAAAAGAAGAGTATTCACAGTGCAGCTTCAGGTCCAGAAAATTCAGAGACAAAAATTTAACAAATTTATTCCTGAATTTTATTTTACCATTATTACCTTAGAGGAATTTCTGTTCTCCTTGACTCTTTTAAGAACAAATATATTAGTACAAGTGTTTCCCACAAGAGGCCGATTTATTTTGGATGTAATCATGGCAGGTTTTAAATAAGATCTCCCTAAAATTCCCCTCTCTTTCTCTGTCTCTCTCAGAGGGGTGGTTCAGCTCATAACTGCGGCCAGCTGAAGGTGGGACAGATTATACTGGAGGTAAACGGGGTTTCCCTGAGGGGCCGCGAGCACAGGGACGCAGCGCGCCTCATCGCCGAGGCCTTCAAGACCAAAGACAGAGACTACGTAGACTTCTTGGTGACTGAGTTCAATGTGGCACTATAGCTGAGTGGAAGAGGAGGGAGTACGATGACGAAGGTAGCACCAAGAGAAGAGGACTTCAAAGGGGTGATGATGCAGAAATATTCAAGTATTCTATTGATTTATATGGCACAACTCTTGGATAAACCTAAACAAACCACCAACTGATCTGAGCCCTTCTCCTTTCTCGGAAAACCCACTCTTGAATTTACAAGGCATTACTTTCACCGTGGACTTTGTCCAGGATTCTCCTCAACTTGTTACCTCCCCACTGTGAGACATTATGCGCTGCAGTGGAAAACCTGTACCTTTTGTGTTAAACCGTGTGGATTTCTGGAACTTCTCATAACACTCCCATGTCTCATGCTAACTTTATTTTACTTACTTTCTGCTTTTAACTGAGACAACTGCACATCTAAGATAAACTGATTGCTTGGCTTTACAAGTTTGGATTTGTATATGTAAAAATGGACAAATGTAGATACAGATGCATATATAATGTACACATAAAAGTACTCCTATAGAATTAAAAAAGAACCTGTAACCTCTGTCGCATCATCTATATATCTAAATATATCTGAAATATGGTGATGATTTGAGGACAATACATGAATCCACAAGTTTTACAGAATAACGGTGACCATCAGCAAAATACCATCCTTTCACAAAGAGGAAATGGGGGGGGGGTGTTCTTGTCATACTGACAAAAATAGAAATAAAATACCGATATTTGTTTACTCCGACATGAACCCTGACTTTGCACTTACACACCTCTCTTTATATCCGTGTTTAAAACTCTGCCTTCACATTAGGACGGCCAAATTGGAAAATATTATCCATCCACAGTACGATATGCAAAAACGGGATTCTGCATCATATTCAAAACCTCTGTGGAGGACTTCTACTGTGTTTTATTATATCCAATATCATAATTTAATTGGTATGTTTTTCTCTCCTGAATTAGGTTATTATAGTGACTTGAGTGGAGCTCATAAATGCTACTTGTTAACCGGGTGAACAGTAGTAGCGTTTACTGCTCAGGGGCCAATAAAAATCACAAACAGCTGGTGTGTCAGCCAAAACAACATTACTATCTAGAGCTGTCAGCCAATAATTAGACATTTTTTCATCATTGCACGATGGAAAAATGTTAGTTGTGATGTGTTTAGAGTCTGATATGACTCTAAACACATCACGATTATATTTGGACATAACAGCAGCAGAGTTGGTTGCACTGCTGTAGGAGTGAGCCAAGGGTGCCTGCTGCTTAACGTTTGATTACTCCCAACATTTAAAACTGATTTGATCTTAATTATTTTTAAATGCACTTTTTCATAGACCAATGACTGTGACAATTATGTTGTTTATCTTTGACTCCTTCACAATAAAAGTCGCTCTTTGTTTCACCTTTTTAATGGTGTTAGCATCTGAAAGAGAAAATGTTCACTTTGCCTTAGGAGTAATTTACATCAGCGAGATGATCATTACTTAATATGAATATGAATCAAAGCCGCCCTACGGATTAACACAGCCTGTAAAATTGCAAATACATACTTTAGATTTTTAAACAAATGTGTCAGATTCCAGCTTTAAAGACTATAGCGTTGCTACAGTTTATCTACACACTCATAAATCAGACCTTACTTCTGCAAGTAACAAAATAAAAATACCTCATTATTGCAAGTATCTGTACATTACTTCAGTATTTATTTTCACGTTCTACTCTTTACCTGGGTTGTTACGTGAGGTTTAAGACATTTGAGGGGAGTATTTCCTGTCACTGTGCGTCTTCAAACATCAAACTGCCTTGAACCTATTTGGGTTGAACAATAACATATAAATGGCAATCCATGTGGGGTATCCAGAGAGGCAATTCTGGTGCAGAGATCATCAGTATACACACAAACTGCACCACTAATTCACTCAGAGATGGAGAAAGATGGAGAAAAGACAGGATGGGAGAAGAAGAAAGAAATTATTATTATAAGGTGATATTTAAAAGGCTGGAAATTTAAAATGTCCATTTAATGTCCTTATTTATTTTAGAGTTGTTGTTTTATTAACAGATATACATGATTTGTTGCTCAGTTTATGTCTCTTTTTTTCATATTAGTGTAGGGTAGTAGTTTACACATTTTCCTAACAGCAAAAGATCCCCATTTGATTCTGGGAGGAAACACCAATCCCTTGGGGGTAGTGTCAGGAAGCATCCTGCATCTGCCAGAAAGAAATCTGCCAAATCAAGCATGTAGAGCTACCCGCTGTGGTGACCCCTTGCCACAAATTGAGGTGTACAAACTTTTTGTTACTCAGAGGTTGCGTGAAAGGCAGTTTAGTGCAGGTTACAGTGGTTAGTTGAAATACTTTGTTCGTCTGTTGCAGAGTAGGCTGTGGTCTTCACGGTCAGTGTGAGGTTGAGATGAGTAGCAGATATCACATTAAATTTAAGTTGAATTACACTTTCGTATTAGCTTTATTCTAATATAAAGGTGTGTATGAGATGGAAATCAGCCGTGATAGCTCATTGAGCTTTGGTTTATAACTTGTTGAAGGCAGTTGGCTAAATCCACGAGCAGCAGCCGCTGATCACAGCCTGTATACTAAATCTACTGGACCACACAATGGAAATGGTTGCTAAGTGACTATTTCCCCATGCTGCACCCACACCTGCTGAATCCCACTTTAACTCTCGACTATACAAATGTTTCTGTTTAGGTGCAGAAACAGTCACCTATCTACATTTGTTAGTTTGTAGTACTGTAGCTACTTTTTTAAAATTCCCATTACTTTTGTCTCCTTTGTCTATATCGCAGAATTAGAATAGAATAGAAGCCAGAATGAAGTTTGCATTTCCTTGTTTTGTTTTAATAACGAGCTTCAGCTTTTCCACTTTTACTTGAGTAAAAAAGTTGAATCAGTACTTCAGCTTTTATCAGAGTACCTTTTAACACAAGGATCTGTACTTGTGACAAATGTGTGCACCTTTGCCATCTCTGCCTGCAAAAGGATTCTGGAGCTCCCCGTTTATGTTCCCAAAACTCTGAATCAAAGATATGTTTTTCAGATTTGGCTAGCTTAGTGTGGAGGTATTCTCAAAGATCATGAAATCCCCTCTCGGATTGCTCAGTTTTTCTTCTGCTTTCCCCCCCACTGAATAACAATTGATGATTTTATTTCATAATTTCAGAGTTATAATTATTTTCACCCAGGGGGGCCTTGCTGAAGCCATGGTCGGTGCAGTAATTATTCCCAAGGAGGGAGTAATGGGACATTTAGAGGACGACACTGCCAAAGATTTCTGTAACGCTCCTTTGCACTTGTGGTTGGATGCACAGTCACATTTTATCCATTTATAGAAAAGCAATTAGGAGATAAGCAATGACATAGAGTGAGAGATGGAGTGAGAGAGAATGACAATGAGGGAGTGACTGAAGTAACAAATGAGATGCACTTGTTGTTGTGGAGATGCTCTGCTTCCTCACAGGAAGAGTGCAAGCGTGGGGAGGATGTACAGCAAACATCCTGCATGTGTCACTCTAGAGACTCACATTAGGCTGCAGGTAGAAACTTGGAGTGATTACAGTAATTAATCCAAGTGCTCTGTGTGTGAACGTGTGATCGTTAAGCGTTTTATGCAATTGATGTGTGTCTGCCTGCAGATACCGCATGAAATTATGGAAACAAGAACATTTTGAAAACAAAGAGACAGCAAATAAAGACACATGTAAGCGCCATCAAGGGAGCTGTTGGACGAGACACAAACAGGGGAGCCGGAGTCTGGTAGTCCGGGCTTTTTAGAAGAATGCCAACAGTGCAGCTCTGTGAGAAATGGCTGTCAAAGATGCCCGATTCATTCTGGACACAAACGGAGAATAGAGAGCATTGTGTTCATGCTTTGATTTTACAACATATCCTTGTGTGTCAACCTTCAATGAATCATCATGAAAAAAATATTTGTTTTAATCTCATATCTATGTTTGTACTTGTAAATATGACACCAATATATATTATGGGGCAAAAAATAAGAGGCTGAAGTCTGATTAAATACTTGGACTGCCTGAAGATCCTTTTTTGTTGTGACAATAAAACTTCAAACATTAGCTGATCTCTATTTTTATGCTTTACCTATCTGTTTTTTTTAAAGGCTTATTAAAAATGCACTTTTCAAGAAGATTGGTCCTAAGAAAAATCCACTAGATATAAAGCTATTTTTCCTCAGAACTCCTCAAGAAGCTACAGTTCTTACATTTGCTCTGAAGAGAATCATTCTGAGTAAAGTTTTAATCCATCTAAACATATCTCTCATTTTAGCTCTGGTGTAGTCTACATCAATTTCTTTATCTCTGTCTGGCTGTGAAGCTGCTATATGTCCCTTTTCTTTTCTTTTTTTCTTTTCTTTTTTGGATTGTTTATACCAGCTCATCTTTAGATATCCTGCAGTAAAAAAAGTCTTAATGAGAGCCATTACTGTATTACCAAATACAGAATTATTATTGCATTGTGTTGCCATAATAAAATAGAACTGAGTATGGGGAGTTATTGTTTTCTAAAAACGACAGTGACAAAAATATGACCGTTTTCATATGTCATGTTTTCTTTAATAATAAAAAGCTTTATGCTGATACTAAAACTGTCTGATTAGCTGGTAGTTTATTTTTGTTTTGTTTTTTTAAATGTCCCAAGATCTTGAATCTCTAATGATGAAAAATGTATCCCATGGCTTTACAAAGCTGCTCACAAAGATGAAACAACAAGTTGTTGTTGTTTTTTTAAAGAAACTGGAGGGAAGTAAAAATAACTAGAGCTTTGTGAGAGTTCTGAGATCAGTCGGGGGCAAAATAAACACAAACAGACTTGGCCAGAGTATAGGCATGGATGTGGTTTCACTGCTTGGGCGTGTGGAATGAATAAACCAAATGCTCAGTGTCAATCATACAAAAAAGAAAAACCTGGCTTCTCAGTAAATGTGGTTTTCAAATTAAATGAGCTAAAACAAGACACACAAAGGTGATATCACTACAGATTTACTTGAAATTATATTTCTGCAACCCTTCATTTTCTAACCATTTGTGTTTAGATGTACCTTGGGATAGCTGTAATAAGATATAGGTTGAGGTGGATGAACACATCCTAGAGGATGTGTATTATATTAAAGTTCATGACAGTACAATTAGAAAAAGACTAAACAAGTATGACTTCTATGGAAGGGTTTCCAAGAGAAAGCATATTCCCTTTATGAAGAGCATTGTAGCAGAGCTTAGATTTGCAAAGTTACATCTAAGAAAATCACAAGAACAATGTCCTTTGAACAGACAAGAATAAAATAGAGATGTTTGGCCATAATTCACATCACAACGATCCCAAGAATGCCAGCAAATCTACACAAGACGTCTAATTACATTGATGGAAAAGATAACACAGATGCAAATACATTACCTTAAAAATATAAAGCTGCGATTGCACTTTTCTTGTATAGATACATATTTTCTATGAGACAGGATTGTCTGCACCCACGTCATCTGAAGCATTGTTAAGATAAAATGATAAAACTTTGGCTTTAAACTGAAGCACGTTTGCCAAAAAAAAAACTTAAGTGCATCTCTAGCAATAATCCAAATTTGGCTGGTAGGAAATCTATCAACCATTCATCTGCTCATTTGAAAATATGTCAAACTAGGGAAACTTAGTTTATTTTGTAATCACATAAAATCTTTTACATTCAGACTTTTTAACTATGACTCTT